GAGCCTGGCAGTGTGGCCAAACTAACCAATCATAACATCAGAATTCTAAGCACCTGAGAAAGAGCAGGAACCTCCCAGAACACTGCTTTGTATTACGCCCAACAGAAATACCCCAGGTGGATAACTTTTACAATCAGGAGCTCCTTAGTTGCTCGCAGCAAATTCTACCACAGAGTTTACAAAGACTTATGGCTAGAGAAGCCACACTAAGTAATTTACTGTACCGCAAGCAGCCATGGATTTTGGTATCCTTGTGTGTGGCGGGGGTGGTCTTAGAACCAGTGCCCCACAGATTCCAAAGGACAATTGTATGTATTCTTTAGGATATGGATTCTTTACTTTAATTCAGTATTGTGATTATTAAATTCATCCATGTTATGGCATATAGCAGTAGTTCATTTCATTTATATATAGTATTCCATTACATAAATTTGTCAAATATAATTAACCATTTAAATGAAAATGGGTTACTTCAGGTACCATTTGGTAATTTAGTTATATTTGGATTGATGATACAAATTTATCTTGAGCTTTCATGATTCACTGGCCTCACTACATAATGTTTGATCCATATATTTTATCATTGTTTCTGATCTTACCATTTTTAAGTACAGTAGTCTTTGAGGAACTCTTACCTTTTTTTAGCAGTCATTATTTTCAAATGTTTTTCAAAGTATTTTCTATCACTCCATTTCATACTTACGTAGTAAGAGTCTCTGTAGTGTTCCTCCGACATGTGGATATAATACTTTGTATTATTGCCAGCTTACAAAGTAATAGTAATTGTTTCATTTAAATCTGCTGTAAAATCAATATAACTGTATTTTTCTTCTTTTAGCCCTGGTTTCCTAAGGTTTGTTAGAGTTTTGTGTGGCATGTCTTCAGATGAAAGGAAAGCATTCTTACAGTTTACCACTGGCTGCTCAACTCTACCCCCAGGTGGACTGGCCAACCTACATCCCAGGCTCACAGTTGTACGCAAGGTATAAACCCTTTGCTAATGGGCAATCCAAGTAGAATTTGATTATTTAGGGATTGAAAGAAATAAATATTTAAACTCATGATCATCTGTTATTTTCACTTTTGTTTTTATAGGTTGATGCTACTGATGCAAGCTATCCATCGGTGAATACTTGTGTGCATTATCTTAAGTTGCCTGAGTATTCTTCTGAGGAGATCATGAGAGAGCGACTGCTAGCTGCTACAATGGAGAAAGGTTTTCATCTCAATTGATCTTTAAAGTGCAATGGGAGACATCAGAGACTTTTACAAAACTAGTGAAGCCTCTCGTGTTTGTGTGCAGAGAAATGTAAGATCCTCCACACTGATGACACTTGCCTTTTTATCCACCTTTAAGGCTTTAAGAACATGGGTTAAGTTTGTTAGCTGCTAATGACAAAACAAATCCTTTACCCAGCCAGCAAGTACATAGCACAGAACACTGTGTGTTGTTACAAGGGCTTATGTGACTGGAGTACGATGGTCCTACTTGACTGTTCCAAAGAGCAGCTTCTCAGATCTTCAGTGTTCACTGGTAAATTTCTAACAGTGTATTTGTGTAAAGTTTGTCATTTCATACTCCATACACTACAGTTGCCATCACTGATCCCCGTTTTGCTGGCTTTTTAAGGCTACTTGGTCAAAAATCCTGCTTCCTTAAAACATAGAGAGTTAATGAGCATCTCAAGCTTTTTCTTTTCCTTTTTAATGATGCCTGCACTATCAGAGTATTCTAGTATTCTCTCATTTGTTTGGCATATAATCATGCACAACCTTTTTACTTCTTTGAGGTGGGAGTATATTTTTATTTCCTGAATACCGTACTATAAAGATCAAATTCTTAAGTGGGTGTGTGTGTGTGCGCGCGCAGCTCAAAAATAAAGATACATTAAGGGAGGGAAAAATCCAACAACACTGGTCTAGGTGCAAGGCACACTTAAAGCAAGCAAGGTTTTCTTTTGGTTATATTTTCTTTGTATATTATAAACATTTATTTAACTTGTTGCAGTTTGAATTAAAAATTTTCCAAAATGTATGCTCAACAATAATCATTAAAATGTTTGCAGCGTACAAAATTGTGTCATGTTACTATTTCACTGCCACTCAGCAGACCTAAGAGCTTAACCTGGTCTATTCTTGTTTTGAATCATTCATATTTGGTTTTCTGAAATTACTACATGAAGGAAATGTATTTTTCTATAGTAAATATGTTTTACTGAAATTAGAAGGCTTAGAAAAAATGTATGTTCCATGCTTAATTGTGATCCAAATGTTGGGTTCAGTCTTAAAGTGGTCAATAGCTAGAAACAGCCAAGTTACTTATGTTAACTTTTTAAACACCAGATCCACTGCTTATTACTGTATTTGCAGGATATATAAGTCTAAGATCCAGAATGAGTTTTGAATGTTGTATTAACGTGAAAGAAACAACCAGGCAATTAATACTTCTTGATTTTGAAGAAGAGGATGTATTTACACATTTTCCAAGTTCCTGTTATTACTATGTCTGTGCATATGGATGAAAGAAATATTACTAGACCTGATTTAGCCAAATGGCCTTTTCAGGAGCCAAAGCATGTTTTGAAATTGCCCATTATTTACCTGTTTAAAAGGTATGTTCCCTTTCTACATTAGAAGAGAGATCTCCCACTACAATGAATGATTTGAGTACTGTTTTTATTTACTGCATGAGAATGTGACTGTGTAATCAGAGGCAACATTGAAATACTTCATCTCATTGTCAGCTGCACAGTTCTCTGTGAGAATAAGTTAAAATAAAACATAATAGCAGTATTGAAATGTATGATCTATGCTTTAATCCAAACAATAGTGGTGGGTAGTTGTCTCAATCAAGTCATGGATACATGACTAATACTTTATACTAATGTTAGAATTCAAATCCAGTTTATATGTTGTAATATACTGTCTTTGTCTCTAAAATGTCTGTTAATAACCAGCTTTTATCAAGACTAGTCTAGCACAGGGGTTGGCAAACTATGGCCCATTGTCTGGTTTTTGTATGGCCCATGAGCTAAATATGATTTAAAAATTTTTAGATAGTTGAAAGAAGATAAAAATAATACTACTTTATGATACGAAAATTATATGAAATTTAAATTTCAGTGTCCATAAATAAAGTTTTCTTAGAACACAGCCAAACTCATTAACTCATTATATTATCTATGGCTGCTTTTGCACAAGGGCAACATTGAGTAATTACAACAGAAACCCAAAAAGAAACCCACAAAGCCTAAAATAGTTACTATCTGCCCCTTTATAGGAAAAGTTTGGTAACCCTTGGTCTAGCAAGTTACTATAGCAGGTAAATTGATCAGCATTATAAAGTCAATAATAGTTTAAAATGTCAGGAATCTTCTTGCAGAGAAAAATTTAAGAGCAAGATAAAGCTGGCCAATCTGAGACTTAAATTTCATCAATGTGAAAATCACTTAGATGACAGTCTGTAGAACAGATAGTCACATTATCATTTATATAATAGGACATCTACTGGGGTCTCTACATGTACTAAGTTACTAAGAATTCTTTCTGTGGTGTCTACCTAATATTTTGTTTTAACTGTTATTGTACTCTCAAGGTACTAAAATCTATGCCAAGATGTAATTCAACTACTATTTTGGCATGACCCAAAAATTAATTTTGTTCACTCCCTAGCTACTTCTGGTGTACCAGTTTCAGCTGTTACCTGAATAGGCTACTGATTAAGTGCCTACCAACTAGGACAGTGTTTCCAACTAGTATGTCTCAGAAAGACCTCCAAATCACTTTGATCTAGACTGGGCTTCCCCCAGAACCCTGGCTGCTTAATACAAAGGTGGATCTATATACATATACCACTCACTGTCCTCCCAGGTCAGAAGCCTTTCCTCTGCCTTCTTCAGTGAGTCCAGAACAACTCAGGTTTGCTTTCAGAATGCACTATGACTTGTTAACTGGGTCTTCATAGATGAAAACTGAAATATGTAAATAGATTTTTTAGAAAAAGAAAGTAAAACAAAATCCTACACACACGTACATATAAGAGAGAGATTGACAAAGACATAGAAAACAAGCAGTAGCTGCAGTGCTGAATGAGATGTCAGTGCCTAGAATGTCTCTTTTGAAGGCTACGTAAAGTAGAGATGAAAGAACTCTTTGGACATTCCAAAGGATGGCAGAGTATCTTAGTGTACTGAGACGTACATTTCCATTTCCTTCATTGCACCTGCCCTCGCATTCCTACATATACTTATTTTTATTTAGGGCAGTTCAGTATGTTCTACTGTTGACAGAGCAGCAAAAGCACATAGGAAGGGTACAGAACCCTTGACATTTAGCATCAAGGACAGGTATAAGGGTTATCTTTTAATGTTTCTCATCCATTATGATACTAACATTTTTGTAGAGTTAAGATGATAGCATTGTAATTGCTGAGTGCACTTAAAATAGATGTCAGAGGGTTTTTAGAAACTGGCAAATAAAGTTTGGCCATCTACATAAAGTACATGACATAGTAAAATTTTTTAAATGTAAATTTTAAGACTTTCTTAGGAAAAGGATGGTATCATTCAGAAAACAGTGTTATTCAAAATGCAATATGGGATTAAGCCAATGTTAAAAGGCTAGTAGAGAGCTGCTACACATGCTGCACATTCTTCCTACTTCCTTCCTATTTCGTGATTTAATTTGCAAAAGGAAGCAGGCACTAAAAAAGTCTTGTTTGGTATTCAACAAAATTTGAAGCAGTGAGAAAAAGTGCTTAAAAAAGTTAGAAAACATTTTTCTCAGTTTAGATAAAATTTTTCTTTGTACAGGATATTTTAAAATACAGTTTTATTTTTGAACTATGGAAAACACTTATAATATTTTTGGAAGGATGTTATAAATATTGTTTTGCAATGTGTGGTCTTCCAGGTTCTTTGGGGCTATAGATGTTAAGAGGTATTCCATGGAGTTAGTAGTTCCTGTAAATCAGGTGTTGTCTGGTGGGGCTCTTCCATTATTCAGCTTTCTGACATCTTATCAAGAATTAGTAGAGGAGCAAGAATTCTTGCTCGGTTAGTTTCCACAATGCAGCCATTTAGCACCATCTCATCCAAAATGATGTGTACTTTATCCAAATTAAACATTATCTAAAAATCATATTAAGGAAATTAATTTTAGAGTTGTAAAAACATTAACGTTCAGTTATGACTAAGCCTAGAATTTTTTATTCTAAGAGATTTTAAAATAGAAATCCTGGTATTAAAATAGATACTCACATTAGAAATTATTACCTTCATTTACACACATATACATACACTTAGTTTCACCTTGGTCATGTTAACTGGACGAGTAGTCACAGAAATGGAACAGCTACATATTTTTAGAGGAAAAGAATCCACTAAAGCTGGAGAACAAACCAAGGGACATTTGGCAAGAGCATGATTTGGCCTCAGTAGTAACAGTAATAGCAGTACTATTGGATACTTATCATGCTCCCAGGCTTCTCAGGAAAGGACTGAAGCTGCCAAGCAGACATCCTCAGCCTCCAAGTCTCCACCCCAACCAAATCTCTACAGCCTTGATCTTCAGCTGCCTTTTCTGCCAGCCAGACTGAAGAAAAGAAAACCATAAGTAGAGATGACAGAAGAAAGCAAGGCATACTGACTCAATTCCCAAATTTAAAAAACAAAGCAAATCAAATTTCAAGATAGTACCTCTGTGGTAGTTAAGGTTCTGTGTCAACTTGGTGGGCTGAGGTTTTGAGTAGCTTGGCAGCTGGATATAGGGATATAGTTATTTCCCTTGATGAGACTGTAATCACTTCCATGGTGGAATCTGCTGTGTGCAGCTAAGTAGTTGAAGGGGAGTTGCCTTTGGGGTGTGGCTTGCTTCCAGTATATATGGAAGAGCTTTGGGAAAGGTCTATAGCTTTTCAGTGCATTTTGGGCCATTTTGCCTGTCACTCTTGGGGTTGTTCCTGGACTTGAACCAGTAGCCTGCTGTGTTAACTGCTGATGTTGGGTTTGTCAGCCTCAGCAGCCACAGCTGCATGAATTAGAAGTCTCCAGTTGCAGTAGGCAAGACCCAGAGCTGAAATCCGATGTCGATGGGCCTTCATCCAGCCCCTAGAGCTGTACTCTAAAATTGGACTTTCAGCCTCCTGAACTGTGAGAATAAATCTCTTCATTAAAGTCATCCACTTATGGTGTTCCTGTTAGAGCAGCACTACAGAACCAAGACCTCTTACAAATGAACAGTTCTAAGTATATCCATGTGAGAGTTACGGAGCCACTTTAGCTTATGTGTTCTTATTGGAAACTTAGTATAGGGTATGAGGAAACAAGGAAGTATTGTTAGACTATAGTGTCTACCAAAAAAAAAAAAACAAACACCAAACTCAGCTGCCGTCGAGTTGGTTCTGACTCATAGCGACCCCTCCTTGGGTTTCCAAGGCGGTATCTCTAGGGAAGTAGATTGCCCAGTCTTCCTTCCGAGGAGTGGCTGGTGGGTTTAAACTGCTAGCCTTCTGGTTAGCAATCAAATGCCTTAGGCACTATGCCACCAGAGCTCCCTAGAAAGAGCCAAATTTTTCCTCCTAGTACACCTTTGAGTACCTGTTTTTCTTCTGAAAGGAGAAGGGAAACTGGAATAAAATATGATAATGGTTGAATGTTACTAATTCTGCACTGCAGTGTCTGAAGTTTCCATCTCTAAAGAGCACGGTCCTCCTACTCTATTAAAAAATAACAGATAAATTCTTTCAAGTAGGTAAACCAGTGAATGATTAAATGTACTAGGGAGTTCATACTTGGTCTTTATAAAGTGAATGTTTAGTAACTCCAGATGCTCAAAATCCATACTGTATTTGCTTAGTAAAGTAATACAGAGAATGGAACAATCCTGTGAATGACTTTTAAGTTTCCATTAGACTCTGCATTAATTTCTCATTAAGCTCTGTGCAAATAGTCCTCCAGCAGAATAAACTGTTTTCAGGGGCCCATGGGAACTGTCCTTAAATGACCCAGAAAAAAACAACAAAAAAAAAAACTTTTAATATACCTATTTATGTCTTCTAATTAAAGGAACCCTGGTGGTACAGTGGTCAAGTGCATGGCTGCTAACTGAAAGGGCAGTAGTTTCAACCCACTAGCTGCCCTGTCCGACTCGACGGCACATCACAACAACAACAACAAGCTGCCCTGTAGGAGAAAGATGTGCCACTCTGCTTCCATAAAGATTTACAGCCTTGGAAACTCTATAGGGAAGTTCTACTCTGTTGTAGAGTCTCAGTGAGTCAAAATCAAATGAACGGCAATGGGTTTTGGTTTTTGGGTCTCCCAGCTATATAGATAATTGCTTTGTCCCACAGCCAAACCAGGACTGGAATGTTAAGCCCTTGACTCAATCCTGTTCACCAGACCCAGAAGCCAGAACTTAAAAGCCAAGACAAACTTGGAATGAAAGGCAGAGTTGGGGAGCCTGCAGAACCCCTGCTGTATTGACAAAGAACAATGAAAGCCTTAGTGCCTTTGAAGATTTCAACTTCTCCAAGATGATTTTCTTTGGGATAGAAGGAAATCTAACTTTAAGCTATATAAATTGGTTCAGGGATCAAGCTGCTTTGAGGATTGCTCTGTCTTTTTGACAAGCAGGTGACAGGCAATCCAGACACCTTGAGAAACTCACCAATTGTTTTGAAATCCAGATCAGAATTTATTGCTGAGTCATATTAGCCATTGTCATGCCCCATTATAAGAAAGACCAGGTCCTTAAGCAGGCCTGAATTTCCCAACATCCTGGAAAGCTGATGCTCAGTGAAGTCATTCTGAACTGGGCCTGTGACTGCCTGTCTGATTATCTGGCTCAAACCCTTAAAAATCATGCAACTTTCTGGCACTATATGAGAAAACCACAAACCAAATCCAGTGTGGCAGGCAAAGGCCTAAAGTTGATTTCCTCCTGGAATTATTTGACTCCTTTAAAACAAGAATCCAGCTATTATCGAGACATTGGTTTGGTTTATGAGAAACTTGCACATTACTGGCGAAGTCAAAAGTATGGCAATTGGATCATATGCCAGGTGAGTAGGGGCCAAAACAATGCCCTGTATGCCAAGTCCATGGCAATAAACAGCTGAACACACTTCAACTCTGAAGTTTGGAAGAGGAGGAAGTGAGGATGCCCAGTCTAAGGGTCTATTAACGTGGTTAGCTGAGAACACTTTTTCAAGAGGGTTCTACCTTAAGGTTATACTGAACTTACTGACTCTAAAGAGCCCTTCAAGGCAATGTGTTTCTCCTCATGGGCCTTTTAAAATTGGAACTAATATAAACTAGAAACAGCCCCCTAAAGAGCAGCTCCATGGTGTCCCAACCCTGAAACACAAGCCTTTCAGAATTTCTATGTCATGTGAGTTGGAGTCGCAACATTATATGGTCCTGGTAATGTTAGTGCCACTCTGAAGTCACTTTTTTTTTTTTTTTTAATTAAAGTGATTGAGATGTTTATGGTTCCTACCTTGGAATTTTTCTCTCTGGATTATGAAACACTTTTTCATCTGGTATTTTAACACCACTATGGTGATTTAGTTATCCTTAATAAGTAAGAGAATAGCAACAGATTTGAATGTGACCTCAAGAATAATTCCATTGCAAAGCCCAGACTACAAACTAAAATTTCTCTTTGGTTTCATATCCCCTCCTTTTTCTCATTTGATTTATTTAAGATTCTAGCTAAACAAGTTCTTTGGTATACTAAGTAGGAAGGGAAGAAAAACTTGTTCTCATTAGTTAACTTTAATACAATTTCCCATGAAATTAGACAAGCTGCTAAAGGCCACTGTATTCCTATTTTTTTCACAGAAGACTGAACATTCTATATAGAAGACCATCATCATGACGAGTGTGGACACTCCTCAATATACTATCCTTATAACAGAGCCTTCTGTTTACTTTTAGGCCCAAATGTTCTCTTGCTAATTAGGCCACTGAAAAGGAATGATTTTTTTTTTTAAAGTACGATTGTTGTCAGAGCAACAGAGACCTAGGTGGTATAATTTTGCTTAAAGTTTATATAGGCTTATGTAAAATCACACAACACTGGGTCAGTTACAGTGCTGGATCAAATAAGCTTGTCATTTTATTTTTTCCTGTCCTCATAACTTGTAAGAATGGAAGAAATGGAGTTGGTGTAAGATGGAAGGATTTTGTGGAAAGAAGAGTAGTGGCTGGAAATGTTACCTAGAGGACTCAGAACACACTTAAAGGAAAGAGGGAGATGGCTAATGCTAATGGGATCCAGTCCTGTAAGGCCTGACTGTTTGATCTGGAACATTCACATCTCTCCCAGGCGAAGGGCTGACTCCTTGGGGGACTGTTCATAATTCTGGGACTCCCATTCATGATAGCACCAGCTAGGACTCTTATGCTGGAGAGAGCCCTGGCCCCCTTGTCCCTTAGTGCCTGCCCTGCCCAAAGATGGGGCTGGCCACACATATTGCCTTGGGCCCACAGGTCAGCTCTCACCCCTTTGCAGCCCTGCTTTCACTTTATATATTTTCAAAAGTAAGGGGAAAAAACCCACTGCCACTGCATCGATTCTGACCCACAGTGACCCTACTGGACACAGCAGAACTGCCCCATTGAGTATCCAAGGCTGTAAATCTTTACAGAAGCAGACTGCCTCCATCATCTTTCTCCCAGAGTGGCTGGTGGGTTCGAACCACCAACTTTTTATTTATCAGCCTAATACTTTAACCACTATGCCACCAGAGCTCCAAAGTGAAGAAAAAAAGATGTTTAGAAATCTCTGAATGTGGATTTTGGAGAGAATGCTCTTATCAAGACATGCACAGGTATTCCCTTTAAGATTTTTCATCAGGGGAGGGAACAATGCAAAAATAAGAGATTTTTCATCAGTCTCTCCAACTAAAGTCCACTTCTCTAAACTTCTCTCATAATTCAGGAAATTTATAAATGTCATTTTGTTAGAGGTCAAATTGTCACGATCTACTCCAGATGATTGAGATTTTAAAAAATGTATCAGATTTAGCCTTCTAACTAATGTATGCCCTAGAGTCGAGGGTCCTCGATTACCCAGAAGCTGGTACGAGGTCTGCCCCATAGGTGGTCTGGGACATGTCAAAGAA